CTCAAGTACACAGCTTCTATAGAAAATCGTTCATATTTTGAGAGATTCATATCTCGAAGAACGGTTGTCCAAAACTTCTGATTTTTTTCTGTAAGCTAGCCTCATTGAAGCCTCCATGCATACAAAGTTTCAGGTTCAAATTCGAGAATATGATATTGCTGGGAAAGCCGGTCCTGTAGAGAAAATTCACGGAAAAATCGAATATCTCAGTCTACTCTGAAAAAAATAAAGGAGGTTTACAGAGCCTTTTCGGAGGGTTCTGTAAACCTCCTTTATTTTTTTCAGAGTAGGCAAGCCACTAGCAGCTAATATTTTAACCTTGTTAGTTTGGCTATGAGAGCTTTCATTTGACCCGAAAATATCCCGTTTTTCTCACGAGCGGTACAAACACCTCCATTATTAGTAGAGTGCGTGGCTGATAAGAATTCAAAAAGAAAAACGGAAAAAATATAAAAAGAGAAAGAGATAGTGTAAAATATTGCTGCAATAAATAAATAAAAGACGCATCATTCGGCAAACAAAATATCCTGAGGGTGTGGGTTTTTTTGCAGCTATTTCTCTTATGAACACCCACACCCTCAAATTGCTGGAAACTGGAAGCAGTATTCCAGCCGGGAATTACCGAATTTTTTTCCTATGGATTCCGGTCAGTTTCCTGTGCTTTCCGGCTGAAAGTTGACCGGAATACACCGGAAAAAATTCGTCAATTCCCGACCGAAGCACTGCTTCGACTCTCTAGCGCTTTCCCGGGCTTTCCGACTAGGTACGGTGATTTTTCTGCACCTTTCCAGTCGGTTCCTCCGGTATCCGCCCTCTTGAACCATTGGCCTGAGAGTTTGCGCCTTGTAGCCAATGATCCCCACACCCCACATCCTAGTGGTCATTGCTGGTGGTAAAGGCCAAGGAAATCGATTAGATCAATTGAACGATCCGACTGGTGTATTGATCGACAAAAAGATGAATAGTATCATTATTTATGATCGATGAAATCGACAAGTTGTACGATAGTCTCGTCGTAGTGGCACTCAACAAGGAGAAATTATTATCGACAATATCGATTGTTATGGGTTGGCTATGGATGAACAGAGATATCTCTATGTCTCTGACTACCAATGACATGAAGTAAGACGATATTCACTGGGGGACAATAATGGTGCTTTAGTGGCTGGTGACAGTGGTAAGGGGATGGTGTGAATCAACTGAACTTTTTAACCTACCACTTTGTCGATCGACAACAAAATATCTACGTGTCAGACATCAGAAATCACCGTGTAATGAAATGGAATAAAGATGCAACACAGCATTCTTGCCGTTGGGGATCAAGACTGTGGGAATAGTCTGACAAAATTGTGGAATCCTAACGAACTATTCGTCGATACATTGGGTTCTCTCTATGTAGTATAGACTCACGAAATAATCGTGTTATGCATTGGCTTCAAGGAGCAGCAGCAAATCAATTTTACTACCCCAACGGTTCGTTAGTAGATCAGCACGGCACTCTTCATGTCGTCGATCTCGGGAATAATCGTATTCAACGATTTTTTATCAAATAGACTTGTAAATTGTTTTTCTCTGTGGCTCTTTTTCTACTTTGAAATAAATGAAAAAGAAATTTTTGCGGTTGTTTTAAATTATTCTCTAAGCATGACATTAACTCTCTCTTGAATCACAAGAAAGTAACCAAACGATATGTATAAATCAAGTTTAACGTTGACAAAGTTTTTTTGGTTTTGATTCATAAAAAAATAGTTATGACCCATCAGGATAACTAACGGATATTAAATTCTAAACGAATCAAAATGCAGACCCATTGTACTTGATACTGTTATTTGAAATGAAAAAAAAGTTGCAACTCAAAAATTACGCATAACTGGTAATAAAACAATGTAAATTACAGAAACAAACATATTTTCCCATTTATACAAAAAGACAGTGAGGAAACAAAATAAATTTTTGATATCTAAACCTTAATGACACGCCAATATTGTGATTCATTCTCTGAATCGATGAACAAAAACTACCTAAAGAACAGAATTTAAAACGTTTTGGTCGAAGCAATCATAGTCGAACTCTAAAGATTTAGTTTCATGTATTAAATCAAAGATTTTATCCGACAAAAATTGAAGCTGATCCTATTGACATCGAAATTATTGTTTTTTGTGTACTCAAAAAGTGAGTACACTAGATTTGGTCAATGTGCCCAGCCGTTAGCACGATAACTCTTGAAAGTCTCATCCAATTATCTTGAAATTTTGTACACAGAATGATCTCATTAATATCTCAGGCGAGTTCGAAGATAAGAAGGATCTGTCAAGAAATGGCTGAGTTATCGAAAAAAATATCATTATTGACCAGACCATCCCTGAGGGGGGGGCGGGTACAGGGTTTTTTCAAAAATAATTTTTTTCTCAGAATTATTCAAAACATATAAATCGACTCAGTTTTTGCAGTACACTTAACAGTCGGATGCGAATCCTATGTTTTCTCATTTATTTTAAATTAATAAATCCAGATACAAATGCTGAATGTCTGTGCATTTTCTTCATACTTATTAGTATCAAGTATCTAATTATTTATTTCAAATGTATTACCCAACATAAGTGAAAGTAATAATAATTTTTTCGCTAGGTGGCCATGCCAATTCTTGCTTTTCTTTGTATTTATTGTTTGTTCACACGAGACACGAGTGTTTCTTTTCTTTTCTTTTTTTTGTTGGTCTATTTATTGGTAATAGGAAACAACCAATACAATACGGCTTCTTTTGTAGCTATGAATGATTCTTCCTATCAATATTCTAATAGTTTAACAAGATTACTATTCAACCATTTTGTTTCTTCTAGATTATTCTGTTAATAAATAAACAAAAATACAGTTTTTCTATGTTTAAATTTTAAGTTTAATTATTATTAATATTATGGCTGAAGGAAGTGAAGTTAATCAAGAAGGTCGTGCTAAATGGCCGACTTGTCCCGATGATTATGAACTTCAAGAAGTGATTGGTAAATATATTGTATAAAAAGAATCTTCCAGTCATGTATTTTATTCTTTTTTTTTGGAATACATAATTAGGTCGAGGTGCTACAGCAATCGTTCAAGCTGCAACAATAAAAAAAACTAATGAACGCGTTGCTGTAAAAAGAATTAATCTTGACCGATGTAATACATCTCTCGAAGATCTATTAGTAAGGTGTTGTTTTTTATTTATAAATTGTTTTCACTATGTATATTGTTACCTATTTGCGTATCTAGAAAGAAATTCAAGTAATGAGTCAATGTCAACATGACAACGTTGTACGATTTTATACATCATTTGTTGTCCAGGAAGAATTATGGTTAATTATGAAATTATTAGATGGAGGTAGAAAATAGGTCAATAAAAATTTAATCATGTTGAGTTAAAATTAAATTTAGGCTCATTACTTGATGTAATACGTTATACTATGCAACGAGGTAATTGTCGTAATGGCGTCTTTGATGAAATAGCTATTGCGACTGTCTTACGTGAGGTTATCAAAGGTATAGATTATTTTCATTCAAATGGTCATATACATAGGTATTGGATATAGTTAAACTGTTTTCTTCTTCTAATGATAATGTTTTGCTTTTTGCACAAAGGGATATTAAAGCTGGAAATATTTTATTGGGTGCCGATGGTAGTGTGAAAATTGCTGATTTTGGTGTTAGTGCTTTTATTGCATCTGGTGGTGATAATACACGAGATAAGCAACGACATACCTTTGTTGGTACACCATGTTGGTAAGAAATAAGAAATTTTAGATTTTCATTTAATATGGAAAATTTTTCGTTTAGGATGGCACCAGAAGTAGTCGGACAGCAAGTAAATTATCTCTTTTTTTCAGTATTCTCTATCTAAAAAACTGATGTTTTATTTTTATTAACGTAGCCAACAGGATACGGTAAGTCATGACAAAAATTACAAGTGGAAGCTATTTTTTTTCTTCATATTTTTATAGATACAAAAGCTGATATATGGTCATTTGGAATATTAGCTATTGAATTAGCTACTGGTACTGCTCCTTATCATAAATATCCTCCGATGAAAGTTAGTATGACTTGATTTGCAACACATAGTTATTATCTTTAAATTATTTCATTAGATTTTAATAATGATTATACAAAATGAATCTCCAACATTAGATATGTGTGCAGAAGATCCCGATCAATATAAACAATATAGTAAAACATTCAAGTAAAACAAGAATTATTTCTTCTTGTTCATAAGAATAAAATTTGTTTTTATTAGTAAAATGATCGAACAATGTTTACAAAAAAATCCCACTGATCGTCCAACAGCTAAACAATTATTAAAACATGATTTTTTCAAAAAAGCTAAAGATCATTCGTATATTGCAAAACATTTAGTGCTGAAATTTCAGGAACGAAAAGCAATGGAAGAAAAACTTGCTAATCGACGTAAATTAACACACATGCGTTCTATACGTGTTATTGATGATGAAGAATGGACATTTAGTAGTGGCTCCGATGACGATAGTTCATCGGCAAACGAGGATTCAACTAATCCGAAGCTTCCACCATTAGAAAACCCAACCGTTCAAAATATTGAAGAATTAATCGGAAAGCCCGATGCCGTCGCAAAACCGAATCCACCTGTAGACGATTCAACATCGCAACTGACTGTGCAAGAAATGACAAGCGGAATAAAAGATCTATCTATTGATAATAATCGAATATTTAAATTTACGTTAAGAATACGGTTTGTTAAAATTATATATGCGAGAAAAGGCAAATAGCTAAATTTTAACATTCTCAATATAGAAATACTCAAGGTGAACTTAATGACATCAAATTTGAATTCAATAAATCCAATGAAACTGTAAAAGATGTTGTATCTGAAATGGTATCAGCAAATTTAATTCATAAACTCGATGCCGATCTGGGTAAAACATACAAATCATCAAGTTTTTTTTCTACGATTTTTTATTTTCTATAATTTAAGTTACTTCGATTATGAGCCAAATGGTCGAAAATTCAACAGATATCTCAACTACATTTGCTTTAGTTAGTTCTTATGCATTTGTTTTTGTTAAGATTCAATATGATTTTTTTTCTCTCTCTAGAAATCCCATGTCGATTCCAGTTCAACGCCTGACGATAAACTTCTCATCGGTTTTGCTCAACTTTCATTAAATATTTAAAGAGACAACGGTGCTATCTATATGTGAGTGTATTTATTTGATAAACTGTGCTTATTTTTCTTGTTCGGATTTGAGTAATACGTATGTACATGCGTGGGTGTAAGCCTAGATGTTTTCTTCGTCTGTTCGGTTCCTCTCTTATTTAATCTCCTATTCACTCAGTAGAAATCTCTGAACCCATGTATGAAGCTTTATATTATTCATATTCTTTTCTCTTTCCATGTACCGATTCGTTTTTATTTTATTTGTTCTTTGTTTTATAGTTTATAATGCTTCTTCTTTTTCGATCTAATAACAATGGCAATCATAAATAAAACGTTTTTTCTTGTTTTTTAACAAATGAACAAAGTTGAAAGATGCAGATTGGAAAAAACCCAAAGATACCTTTGTTTTTTAAGTTTCAAACGTTTGCGTTGGCGGATTGGTCATTGATGATGATGATGAATAGGTTGCTCTTGATATTTGAGGTTCGATAACGTGTATTGGTTGAACATTAATGATAGTTGCTGTTGAATCATTGAGTGATATTACTGTTGAGTTTGCGATGGGCACCGGTGGAGCGCTAATTGTGGTTGTTCCTGACTCGTTGAGTGATCTTTCTGTTGGATTTTCGATAGGCTCTGTTTGTGGAAGAGCGACGATTGTCGACGAACTGTTTAATGTATTATCGTCAATACGAGAGCCATATGATGGCGGAGGAGATGCCGTTACGAAAACATTTCGTGGCTGATCACTTGCTGTATAGGGTGGTGGAGGAGTACGAAAACCTGTTACATAATGTGAACGTGGATGACGAGTACGTCTATGTGGTCTTTCATGTTGTTCTGGTACTGTTGGCGACGCCGATGAAGATGATGTATTTGAAGCAATACTTGATTCATCGGAATCGTCATTGTGTTTATATTTACTATGATAAATAACAATTAAAATAAACATTATACATGGAATACCGACTAAAAGTACGAGACAAATGCTTAGTAATGGCCAAAACCATGGTGATCGTGTAGGAGATGTATCAGATTCTATGTTACATAGAAAAATAAGTGTTCTATTCTCTTTCAAATAAAAAATATCAGCTAGATATCCTACCGCCTTGCGCGCTTGCTGATACTAAAATAATAATAATCCATAAGAAACGAGCCATCAGTATAAGGTCATTCGAATGTATTGCAAATAATACAATTTTTTTCAGATGCATTTATTTCTCTGAAGCCATAAGCATTTGAAATATATGATTAATAGAGCTTCGTCATGAAATCTTTTTTGCGTATTACTGTGAGTAGAAATTGAATAATACAAAAATAGAAGCAGAGTTTTTCTTTTGAAATGGCAACGGTTGTTTTCGAGATTATTATGTTTAACAGAAATGCTTTTTTTTTTATTTATTTCGTCTCGCAAAAATGAATTTCCCATCGGATTGACTTTTTCACACATTTTAAATTCTACTGAAAAATACTTTCGATCAAAACACGATTGCTCTCCTATGTTTTGCTGGTGCACGCCGCTTTTTTCGTTTTACTTTGCTCGCCTATACCTTCTGTTATTTTTTCAATATTCTTTCAATAAATTAAAATATAATAATTGAAAAATTCTTCATCTGTGTTCTTTTCATTATACAGTCTCCATGATGATGCTTCAACAAGAAATTTTATTACAGTTTATACGCATTCGGTGAATAAAACAGAAACACAGAAAAATAAAGTCCATGGTCTCGAACACCTGTTATTTTCGAGAATAAAATGTATGCTTATGAGAGTTTTATCTTGACTATTCTTTATGATGCCGTGTAAGAAAGAGGTAAACAAGAGATTTTATTCGAGGCCAGTTTATGTGACAATATTCTTTTTGTATGGATTAAGTTATTGTTAATGTTACCAATCCTTGCAATCATTTATTCAGTAAAGAAATTTATTTAAGTAAAATCCATTAAGTACTTGAAAAATTACAAAAAAACATGAATATAAAAAGTAGAATTTAGAAGAAAATATATTTCAAATCGAATTCTTCACCCGAAACACTCAACGATAGATAGATTAATGGTAGACGACTGAATTACAAGAGCGATTATGAAACGTAAGATCATGCAGTTTATTTGGTGATAGATTAAAATCGCCATTGTTATAAATACTATCACTTTCTATCAACGCGTATATAACTGATTTCAAGTAATTTATTAAATTATAATTTTTATTTTCATAATTATCTAAAAATTCAAAGAAACGAGGGTAAAATACACGTTTATTCAAGTAGTATATCTCACATACTTCGAATGGAAACAGCAGAAGGCGCACAATTAATGGTAGAATTACATGTTTTTATTGATGTGGAATGTGTTAAAGCACCGAAATGAATTGAAATGAGAGTTGAAAGACTTGCGCCAATAAGAAGTAAACTTATCCAAACGCAATATTCAATTGTATGAAGTAGAAATTTGAAACACATAGACAGAAATTTTACTAAATCAATTGCTTTCAATGGATCCAAATCTTCGTTGAATGTTTTAGCCATTTGACTTTTAAATAAAGAAAGAAATTCATGAAATTCACTATCGGATACGTACAAATTCCAATTTAATGCCAGTAAAGCTTGTCGTTCAATTAAATTAAAACGTTCTACTGTAATACCAGCTAGTTCAGCTAAATCCGAATTAAATAATTGTTCATTTTCACCTTCATCAATAAGATATTTATCAGCTAGTAATGTCGACGTTATATACAGTTCTTCTGTTGTTAAATTATCTATTTGCGCCAATGAAGATAATCCACGAAGAGAACGTAGACGTTTCATATACAAAAGGCTCAATACAAAAACACATGACGGCAAATTTCGAATTCTAGAAAACAACTGAAAAACTAAATTGAGACTAAACACACAATTCATACTTGCAGAGACTTAATGCTACAGCACAATCGATAGTAACGAAATGTTCCGTTTGTTCAGGTGATTCATCTAAACATAATACTTAGCTGCGTCTGTCAATGGATTTTTTCGAGTATAAATTTAAAAGAAAAACTCATCTTACTAATATCAGGCAAAATAATATCATCCAAGATTAAATCCTCGTTTTGTAGACGATAAATCTAGATATAAATTACAAAAGAAATGTTTTCTTCATGATTAAAAAAGTACATATACCATGATGTTACTTCTTTTTAACTCGACGATCGATATAATAAGAATACAATCTAAAAAAAGAAATTCTTTTTCTTTGCAAAATCTTCGATCGCGCTTATTTTTTTGTCTTTATGAATGTATTCTAACAGCAGAATCATCTAAGTAAATCTAATCTAACTTATTTAAATATTCTTGCTTGTCTTCATTTTTCTTTTTCTTCGTTTTCATCATGCAAGCAACATCGAATAATCATTATCAATCAACTTTACCGTTTACTCCTATTCAAAGTCATTCGAATAAATCCGCTGAAGATGATACAGGCTATGATAGCTTTACAAATCAAGCTGAAAAACAAGAACGAATCAGAAGTATTGCCGGCCTTTCATCGTCGTCGTCAAACAATCAAGTCCAACGTATAGTAAATATAGTGGCAAATATACCTTCATCTCCTAATATATCAACTGCCAACGAAACAAGCGACATAGCTATAAGTGTAACTGAATGTATTGCAAAATTTTCTAAAAATACTGAATCAATAAGGACAAAAACAGTATCACCCATACGTAAAATAAATCGTACACGAATTCAACCATTATTAGATGTTACGAGTGATAGTGCCGATTCATTTGTTCAATCATATGAAAAACAAATATCACAAGACCCAACGATATCATCGATTGATATTCTACAATTTAGTGGCGCGTTAGAACATATATGTGATACTCGTTTTGATTCGATAACAACAGTTGATCATGTTAAAAATGATGTTATTGCGATTGAATTGATGGAACAACAGCAACAACAAAAAACCAGTCAAATCTTAGATACTCATCTTCATCATAACAGACAACATCTAGCATGGATCAATCGCTTAGGCGAATCGATACGTTTATTACCAGCAAATGTTCTAGCCGTTGTTTTCATTGGATTGATTGGTGGACTTTTTGTTTCAGCTTTATTCGTGATTATTATAGCGTAAATCTAGAATAGGATATTTATTAAGAGAATATTAAGTCTGGCTTTTTTCTTATACATGACTAATAGAAAGACAACAAAAAGTTCTTGTTCATATATTTTGCTTTCTTCTACTCAGCCACGACGCATAGCTTCAAGTAAACGCAAGGTTTCAATAAATAAACGTGTTATATCAAGATAGATTTGTATTGCGGCATCAATATATTCTTCGGGTGACGTTTTACGCATGATTTGTTGTGTATCATAAACTAAATAGAGACTAAATACGAGTGCACCACTTAATGCCAGAGCTAATTCCATGAATGAACTACCGACAATAATCTATTATAACAGACAACACAATAGATAGAATTCATACGGAAAAAAAAGAATTTCTTTACTTGAATTAATCCTCCGGCAATGACAGCACATAATAATACGTATAGAATAGCACCCATATCTGAAAAATCACGTTTTGTTTGAAATGTATATATTGTTAAGCCTATAACAATGGCGGCTGTGATAATGACTGCTTGAATAACTAAGATTTTATCAAAAAATGAAACAGCAGTGCCAATAGTTAGAGACTCAAATAATGTAAAAATTCCCAGCAACGCAAAATTTATCGGATACTCCAAACGATTGATATAAAGAGCAAATAAACTAACCATTGTTGCCAACAATAATAATAGAACAAAACCAGGATGGTTTTGAAAAAATAGTTTTACATTTTCCAATGAGATTATTACTGATGATACAATGGCCACAAAACACAGTTGAACTGCGACGATACTATAAACCTTGCGTAAAAATTCTATATAATCATAGAAATAAAAAGCTGCTCATGAACAAGAAGTATGCCACTTACGCATACGTATGTAAACATGGCATGATGCCACATTGCTGCCATAATTGAAATCTTCTTCAATCGAACTATATCTTATATCAGCCATTGCTTGAAGAAACAAGACCTATAAAGTAACAAACAAAATTCCAGCTTTTATTTTCTTCATCAAAACGTACGAAAACGTTGTTATCTCGATTGTTTCTTCGTCACTAATTTTTACTTTCATTAGAACAATGAATAGTTCTCTAAGCAATCTTCATTAAAAAAAATATATATATATATATATATATATGCGTGCGTATGCTCGTATGCCTTTCATCATGTTTTCTCTTGCTTTTAGTTTTTCTTCCTCGGGCGACATTATTTATAGGGTTCTTATAGAGTAACCTTCGTAAAAGCAAGCGTCAAACGAATCACAATAGATGGCAGTCATTCTTTTGAATTTCGCCGAGAACCTCATTGTAAAATGACTACGGTGAGTTTCAGTTAAGTTTTTTTGTTTTAGAGTCTTTCGGTTGGCAATGAGATATCTGTTTTGAGCCACTTCATTGAAAACCAATTGAGTTTAATTCATGCGCTCGAAAATAAAATACTTTGTTTCAGTACATTGAAACTAATTTTTCACAATTTATTAAAAATCTATCGTTAAAATCATTCACACCCTAGTAAATGTGTTTCTAGATTTGAAGCGTCTATGTATATTACAATGTGCATAATTGTATCGACCAGAATATAGATGCTATTCTTCCCCATAGGGTGGATCGAACATGGAACCAGCATACTTAAGCTGATTTACCGTAAACTCTGGTTTTCTCTCTGGAAAATGTTCATTAAGCCGATTGATGGAGCCTTTAGGATGTTTCAATATCCACTTGAATGACGAGAAAAGATTATTGTGAGGTAATATAACATTCGTTAAATTGATTGTGTAAGACGTAGGTGATTCTTTGTGAACACCTTCAACTTGAAATAATGCCCATGGTAATATTAAAACTTCTGCCTCATCTTCGAATTCTGATAGACAAGGTTGTGAATCCGATATTCGACTTAAATTGATTGCTTGATCACATGGTTGAGGAAAATCGAATATGAATAGAACACGATTTTTTCGAATATTGTCCGACGCTTTATTAGCTGCATCTGCGAAATCTTCGGCAGTCGAACGTAGTAGAGAAGTTGATGAAAAAATTTTAGACTGCAAAAAACTTCCCTGATTACGAGCAGCTGATTCATACGTTACAATTTCGTCATCAGTCATTCTTGCACCACGATATGACTGTCCTTGGAAGAATCTATCTTTCAAATTTTGTAATTCTATATACAAAGGTAAAGCCAATGGCATTGGATTTTGCCGTAGGAAACGATAAAATCTTGTTTCCAATGTGTACAAACGTATGAGATGTTTAGTACGTTCAGTAGGATTATCGATTGAAAAGTTCTTTAACAGTTGATTGGCTTTAGATGATTCTGGATCTTGGTTAGCTATGAGTTCTCGGTCAAGTATATCTTGAAGTCGATTACTCATGGTTTCCAGAGACATGGGTGCATCGCTTCTCAATTTATTAGTAATAAATCTTCCAAATCGTGATTGGCACATAGTTATCGATGTTGTAGCATAACCGATTTCAAGTTTTTTCTCAGTCTTTGTTCTGAAAGTTTGAAGTGGCTGGTGCTTTGGTGTTTTAAAATGCGACTTTGCAGCTGGAATCGGGTTTTCTTTCTTCTACAAAAAACAAAACAATCCAATTAAAATCGAAAATAATTATCTTTCTACTTTGGGCAATTTCTATGGTCTTACAGAAAAATGCATGCAGTTTATGAGAGCTTCTTATCAGCAAGCCTGAGTCGAATCTGCTGGTAAAACATTGTTTCAATTTGAAGACCTCACTGAATGAAGGTTAAAAAAAGCAAGCGGCATATTAAATGAACTCCGTTTATATCTTAGTGCACTGATTAGCCTCACTCGAAAATTGTCCAATACTGATTTAAAACAAAGCGTCCTGAACGGAAATGGTAAGCTCATCAATCGATGCTTACAATTTGTTTGGGTCGTTTAACAAAGTCGAAACAATCTTCTGTAGATTCTTCCTGAAAACGTTGACTACAATTGGGAGCATAACATCGTTTAAATAGTTGTCGAATTTCATCATTAGCAGCCTCTTCATATGCCGTCAAACCATAGGCATTTACTTTCGATCGATCACATCCATGTTCTAGCAGTATTCGAACAATATCTTTGTGACCATAAAACGAGGCAGCATGTAATGGTGTACTATTGACACTGGGTTCCAAAGGATTCAGATCATCAATTGTTCCTTTGAAAGTCAACAGATATTTTTTTAGCGTATCCACATCATCATTTCGGCATGCAAGATAAAATTCACTGACTTGAGATGATTGTTGGACGGTCGCCATATGAGACAATCGTTTAGGTTTCTAGAAAATATATAATCTTAGAATTTTTACATTTTGATGATAAGTAAACTAAATCATTTCCAAAAATAAGCTTTATATCGAGAGAAATGTAATGATCATATGTCGTAGGGTAATCAATAGATATTTATATCGTCGAGCATCCACATGATGTCATTACTTATTGCTTCATTACTAGTATAGTCATGGATGAATAATTCATTATATCAATCATTTCTTTATCTTACACCGATCCTACTTTTTTTCACCTGCATATATTGAAACTTCGCACTTATTTTTTTTCGAACAAGTACAGAAGAAAAATAATATTCTTGTTTTTCTTCTATTTCTTAATATCTTGACATACATACGAAATAAAAATACTACCTGTTAAATTTATTACGATGCATTTTTGACTTTCCGATTGTGACTACGCATTGGCATCTTGTGCATTTAATGATTGAGTGTGGCTAGTAGCCTCTCTAGAAAATGTAAAACAATCTCATTTATTATAATATGACTCCGGACGAGAAGATAAAATAAATTCATCGTGGTTGAATCCATGAGACTCATCAGCTTTATCAATTACATCGTTTTCTCAATTCCTATAAAATTAGTGTGTATCATATAATGACATACTTTTGTAATTATTCAGTCTTAGCAGCAATTATCTGTATGATACTATAAAAATATCATATTCGTTTTTAATGAAATGATTTTTTCGTCACGACAGTATCGCCTTTGATGAATTGAAACACACAATCTACACGCTTTCGTAGAATATATCATAGAAATAGAAAATCCATCAACCTTTAAAGATGCTGCGGACTTGATCAGTAAAGTAAAGAATTCAACAAATATTCCACTTTACTTGTATAAAATAAATCAGAGGAACGGCTACATTTCATGAGATTACTGTTCAATCAAAAAGACAAATATTTGCTAAAAATTAATTAGCAATTTCTGATCATTCATATATACTTCGAAAGTTCGATTTGGTTTTTCTTCAAGCGGTACAATACGGGTACAATAAGCCCATATTCTGATAAGAATTATTGTCAAATCTAATGTAGTGTTTCAAACTAACTTTTCGAACAGCATACTTGAAATATAGTGCAGTTCATTGACTATGAAGCAACATTGAGTGTTTTCATCTAGTATTAACAGTTGTTAGAATGATACCGATGAATAAGAAAATTTTATTTCAAAAGTTATGAAGAATATCATTCTTAGCAGAACACAGTCAAAAGTTATTGATCTTGGTGTGCACGATAGAGTGAACCAATGTTGGATTCAGTGAAGTGAGGACCGAACATGTTGTTGGGTCGGTTTGATACAATAAAGCTGTTCACTGACACTTGCTGACCAGTTTGACTATTTACATCATACTGTTGAATCCATGGACCACCCGATGAACCACCTGTCATGGCACATGACAGTTGTACTCCAGTGAACCCGGCTAGAAACGTTGGACTTAATGGCGCACCGACACAATTGCTCACAGTCTCGCCACTATTCATATTCTTTGGATAGCCGAATGAGGTTGTTCTCAGATTTTTTTGTGAATCAAGAGTGATACCGAGACCGCCAGCAACATCTTGTACATGCTGACCTTTTTCGTTTGGATTCACGAGGACAAGACCAACATCATTGTTAAAATCTCGACTGTTCATCCATTCACTTTTTGTGGCCAATTTACGAAATGCAAAGGTACCCAATGGACGTGAGCCGAGCGAATATTCTGGAACAAAAACCCAAAGACTTGCCCAGACTTGTCTTTCATAATCGAAAACACAATGACCAGCTGTGAGAACAACATCACGATTTTCTGCGTTGACTACGGAACCCGAACAAATATAGTTTTGCCCCGACACTGTGAAATAAACTTTGCCAGCTATCTTAGGTTTTGTTGATACCATGCCTGGTAACAATGCACTGGGCGCTAAAACTGTGGCGGCTCTCTCGACTCTTGGTTCATTGTTCGAATCGATGAAGTCCTTTTCATCACGAACAATTGTATCCAGTTGTATTGCCGAAGCTCTTCGTTCCGGAGTCCAGTAGTCTACAATCGATTTCAAATATTCATCGCGTGTTTGACCACGTGGAACTATCATGTCGATGGCAACATTGCCAGATGCATCCCTAATGGTAGCACCATTGGCAAAAGCAGACAAACCCAAAATGAGCAAGACGGAAAAAGTCAGCATTTGTTTCAAACTTTTTCAATTGTGAATAACGGGTCATTGTATTTTCACCGACATATATACCTAGATTATCGCTCTTCAGATTTGAATCAATCACGAGCACAGTCGTAAATCACTACATAGATAATCGAACTCGAAAACAAAAGCAAATTAAACTGCTGCTTTCATATAGATATGTAACCCTTTTTATTACAAAGATATAACGGCGCGTTTTATGGCTGTAAGATATTTATGAGTGTTTTCGATTCAATTCATCCATCTTATCTGCTAAAGATATTTTCAATGAAAAGCACAGTCCTAAATACAATTAAGAGAAAATTATATCCAACATTTGCAGTTCAGATCATAGCTGTATCCTCATGTGTACTGGGAAACATGTCAATTGAGCAAAACATAAATCGATTAAACATTGTGACACTTTACTGCATCAAATCTATTTAGCCCTAGAGTCTATGACCATATTTCTCACCATTGTCTTTGGTCTTCCATGTATGAAAACGTGCACTATAAGCTTTCTTATTTTTAACTTTCATCTTATTTCTTTATTTGAGACAGTCGTCTTTGTAACGAATGAGAATTTTTTTGTAATAGACTTCATGAGCAAGCGAAATCTTATTTAGAGTGAGTTGAATTTCTTCAGAGATTGTAAACTGGTTCTTGCGATTATAAATCATGTATCGTGTATGACTTCGTTAATACTTGTCCAATTACAAAAACAATGAATATCGGATATCATACTTTTCTTATATTCAAACTTAGACATTTCACATCATCACCAAGAATCCTGGGTGGTATGTCGTGATTACCTAAGATTCATAATAGGTGAGAAATTGCACGTGATTCTGTTTGAAATAGGAATTTTTCCGTTCGTCGAATCAATGTCAATTTCAGTCAGCATGAAGCAATATTAAATCTCAGCTATCGTAAAAAGGTGTAGTTTATCTCTGTCGATGAATATTGCTTGTCAAGTGGTACTCTCAGAAAAGTGGATATCCGATATCAATTCGTCCTTGTGCAGCATAAAAATTCTAGGCACTATACTTTAGATTCGATCGATGTCTGATTTCATTCAAGAATGAGTTTCACTCATCATCAAAACAGACATTCTCCATTAAAGTGACCTTATGCTTTTTTTTTATTAATACCTAAGAGACAATCAGAAACGCAATTATTCTTTCCGCATCGCCATAAACTGCGTATTGATAAAAATTCTACAACGCTGGTCCATTAAAATAGGAACATTAACACAAAATGTAATGATCTTTAAACGTTTATATGTAGGATCAGGCTCATATACGATTGAAAATCGAGGCCAAATTTCAAGATTACTTAAACAGGAATATGCAAAACCTACACTGGCGCAATATGAAAGTCAGGAATCACTTGCTTCATCGGCATTATCATTTGGTAGAAAACCGCAGAAGCACTTAGAGTCGCCGAAGCTATCAAAGCGTTAGCGTTATGTCATAACGTAACACCAATAGTTGAACAATCAATATCAGCATTGGTTGATACATTGACAAAATACGGCGATGAATCTCATTCAACATCAGATAAACCAAGAACAAGTGTTACATCATTGAATACAACAGTTGGATCAGATGTCTTAGAATTATTATCAGCAAGAAGTGAATTGAATTGAATAGATTACTGAGATATAGAAGCGAGAGAACTAAGCCTATGATTTCTCTGCTACTTCGTCATTCCATAACTACTGATGCATCTGTTAGCAAACTGTATTTATTATGACAACAATTCTTTTTCACTCAAATAATATGAATTGGCAATCGAAAGTAATTGCATATTCATCTCGAATACTCATTACAAAGAAATGCATATAATGTCGTTGGTTTTTTCTTAGAATAGTTTTGGAAGCACAGTTCTTTGTCTACAATTTATTCTATAAATTGTTATTAGAACAACAGCGCTTCGTTTCCTATAATCGAGCCCTGACGAAGAACAGTAAAAATCATACATTATGTGTAGTAAAACTGTGAAACAATCGAAAATGCAATTTTCTTCTCTTTACAAATAAAATTTCTTATTATGTACGATATTTTTACAATTATAAAACTTCTGCATTCATCAAAGCAACGGTAAACCGCAAGATGCTCCCCAGAAAGGGTGAGGGTGTGGGTGTGGGTGAGTGAAGACGATAACCATTTGTCCATACTTGCACTGATACACTCACACCGATACACCCATACCCTCAAATAAATAAATTTATATCTTAATCTCGTGGTGATATACATGTTTGTTAAATACAGTTAGGGAGCAAGTGTCCGGGGAGCATCTTACCAGGATTCATAAAATAAATAAAAAGCTTCCACTTGCTTTTCTTATTCATGGTAGTCCACAAGTTAGTTGGTATAATTCATGGAGTTATCGATGGAGTTTTCAATCATTTTCATCACAAGGTTAGGTTGTTATTGCAATTAATTTTCATGGTTCTGATTCTTATGGACAAAATTTTACTAATAGTATTATAGAACAATATGAAATATTACCTTATCAAGATTTACAATTAGAATTAACTGCTGCTTTAAATTTATTTAATTGTATTGATGAAAATCGAGTTATTGCATTAGATGCAAGCTATGGAGGTTTGGACATACACAAATGAATCAACGTTTTAAAGCATTTGTTAATCATCATGGAATATTTGATATAAGACAAATGACTTATTGAACAGATAAATTATTATTTATTGAATATGATGTTGGTCAATTTATTCAATCTGACAATTCACAAGCATATGAAATATTTAATCAAATTAATTATATTTCTAATTGGACTCAACCAATGTGAGTTATTCATGGAGCTTATGATTATCGTGTACCAAATATTCAAGGTATTAGTACATTTACAGCATTTCAACGACGTAGAGTTCCAAGTAAATTACTTTTTTTTACAGATGAAAATCATTGGGTACTTAATCCATGCAATTCATTAGTTTGGTATCAAGAAGTTCTAGATTGAATGAATCAATGAACTAAGTAGAAATTTAAAACAAAAACAATATTCTTTGTTTAATCATTCAAAATACTTTTGTGTCATTGTTGATACATTTTAACACGAACAAAATAGAATACGAGAAATAATTATAGTATCCGATGTTCTGTGGCTAGAATCGTTTGATACTAAAGCACAGCTCAAAGTACGAACGATATTAAAATAATCGATTGGTTTAATGTTCCCACAGCTTCTTCATAAATTGATATCGCAGCCAGCATATATGTTTGAATTAGTACCAGTATATTAAATTAGATTTGTTACATCTATCTCCTCATTTAAATAAAAGAGTAAAATTATAGTCAACTTTATTTCTCTTGTTTATTGACAAATAGTTATTAATTCTATACAATAATAAAAAATATTCTAAACAATTAGATATCTACCACCATAAATACATATCATAATTAATAAATTCAACAAAATAATCATCAAGCCATTTTTTTTCTTTCAATCATTACATTTAATTCTTTTAGATATATTACAGATATATCAGAAATACATAAAAAAAAACAAATGAGGTGTTTTATTATGTTTGTTTAGTAACAAATATTGAACTATTGGTTCAATTTCTTTGCTTTTCATTCCAATTTTCAGATGTTCTAATTGAGAAAAGAAATCAATACCCAGGTGAAAGCCACACGGTCGTAATACGGTGCATGCCAAAACGTCAAGTTACGGCCATTTACGGTGAGAAATGGCAGGAAACGACAGTATACGACTGTTTCTGGTAGTCGTAATGCTCGACCTGGGTAACCAATTTAATTTTTTCTAACGTACGATCATGATGAACTGTGAACGTTTTAATTTTATTTGTTTTTAATGCAATTAATTTAGCAAGTTGATGTAAAGGAATAATACGATTGCGTGTGTGTACCAATGAATCCTCTAGTTTTTCTGCACAATTGTTAATTGCCAATTCAGTAGCATTTTGAAAATAATTGGCAGGATTTTTATTTGCTTTTGTACTACAAATGTGAACATATTTAACTCAATTAAAATTTGTTTCTTGAAAATATGGACAAACTTCTTTATGTAATTACCAATAAATTGTAAAATCTTTTCGTCTAGAAAAAAAAGAACCAAGTTAATGTTAATCTGTTTCTATGAATTACCAGAACTTTGTCAATAAGATTTTCGCAAATCATACTCTCGTGAGCTAGGTATATGACGGCTATATATCGTTCTGCTCTCTTGAAATTTCAAAGTATTCTATACCCATTAGGTTTGTGACACCTCCGTTTTAGATCATGCAAGCTAAAATGCTATTGTAAAAACACTAGTGGCAGGATTACACCCACGGTTAAGCACTGTGACTCAGTTGAACAGAGTTGGTTATGAAATCCCCTCATAAAAGTCGGTGGTCGGTGGAATCACCACTCATAGAAACGAGATAATCGTAGTTAATTTGAGTCTGCTCCTACGATTCAATGATTGCCAATGTTAGTGCGAGCCTACCGAACTTTCATTGCTTTGAGGTGTTGACTAAAGAGTTTTGTATTACCTGTACTTATACTGTTCTATGCGATTGGTGGATATCTACCAAGATGTATAATCAACAATGATGAAAGTTAAGAACAGTCTCGCTATAGACTTGTACGACACAGAATTTTTTAAGCCTGTAACCTGCACCCACCCTTCCTCTGTCACTCTCGTAACCTGTTCTGACGGCATAGAATAGGTTATTCGTATCCTGCAGATCTCTCATTCTCGCCAACCCATTGACGAAATTCTTACTGACGAAGAATAGACAATTCATTTTTTTACCGATATGGCTGAGTCGAATAAAAAACTCCACTATTTAAACGTTCACGCCAATTATGTTGATGAGTAAAATGCCATTGTTTTGTAATCCAAAATAGTGATGTAAATCGATCGATCAAATCATGGTATGTTAATCCATTTACTGATCCAAAACCATCATGATGTATATCAAAAATACGTAAACTCGGCATATAAGATGTTATTAAATTTTCCCATTGTTGTGCATCTAAATATGCTGCATCATAATGTGTTGAAATTCGTAAAACTTCAACATGACGAAAGAAATATTGTGCAATTTTTTCGAATTTATTAAATTTAATCAAATCAAGTTTGAGTGAAACATGTTTCAAACTTTTTAATAATCGAATAGGACATGATTCATTATCTTCATAACGAGAATAAACAAGACAATCAATTGGTAAACGATGTAGTTTTGGAAAGCAATATAATAAACTATTCAATGAACCATATGGGAAACGAGCATCAATGATAAGATGTTCAACTGAACTATAATCACATTCATTGAAATAATTAGGCAATGGATCCTCATCGATTTTAATTTGATATTTAATTTTGCAATATTTTAATTTCGATAGACGAAATATTTTACAAAAAGTATCAGTTGAATTTTCAACATATTCAGCAGGATTAAGAACTAATGAATGTAAGTTAGGTAAGAACATTAATTCAAGGAAAATTTTGTAGAGACTTTTTTGCAGTGATATTATCAAGAATTAATGTTTCAAGACGAATGAAATCCGAAACAATACAAGGTGATGATAATACGATATCAGCAGTAAATGGATTTGATAAAGAATTTCGTTTGCCAAATGTTCAAAAATAGATCTACGTAGGTGAAATAAAAAATGTGAAGGATTACAAAATAAATTAGATTTTCAGATAACTGACTTGGTTAATTTAATTTTTATATTTTTATCATAATCAAAGTTTGTATCATCTCTTGGTTGCATTGTTTGTTCCATGTCTAGAAAATAAACAAGCGATGTGATGCGCAATACTAAGAAAGAAAACGTGCGTGTTAGGATAACATTCGGCCTAGACATATAGAGAAAAGAAAGAATAAAAATGTTCGTATGTGAATCATTATAAGAAGGCATGGAGTTCAACATATGATTACTAAGAAAAGAAATTACGAGATTTTCATTTATCATCAATTTTTTGTAAATATCCATGTTTCCGATTGCGTACAAAATACATATCGACTTTCTCAAAAGTCAGCAATTGAATGAGTCGATATGATGATAGACTTGTAAAATTTCTGTTTAAAAAATTCAAGAGATGCAATTATATATCAGTGATACATTATAGCAAAACAAAAGTTAGTGTAAGATATAGTTATGTTTGAAAAATGAAAAATGAACGATGAAACAGGTTTTCAAATAAGAACAACCAATATCTATGTAATAGTGGTGAATCCCCTTCTTCCAAAATGAAAGACCTTGGTCTTGTGTTGCGTGCTAGACATATTACGTTTTTCATGCATTCTGTTGACATCAATTTTTTATTCATTAGTAATAAAAAGTTTTAAAAACTTATAAAAATTATTTAGTAATTTAGACTAATTTTTTGTTAACAATTTTAACAATATACACCACTGTCGAATATGACTAGACTACAAATAGTAATATACGGAACGATTTCTCAAAAGAACCCCAATATTCGATAAAGTGCTAATTAATATTTTCGAAAAATCAAGTCGCTTTTTGATAAACTAATTATTTAATACGTAGCCTTCTAATAGGGATAGCCCTTTTATATAAGATGACCTTATATTCTGAGAGGGTGTTTAGTGGTTTCCTCACTTGAGCAATTAATTGCATCGTGAATATTACATGCACGATACAAAATATCTTTGCATCCGTGAGGACAAGAGCCATATATATAAATGTCCAATTTTTAATCGATTTCCCACTCACTTCACGGTGTATTTTTTTATGGCGTTCCACAAGGACGACTTCAGAATGAATTTATAGAAAACTTTTCGAGGCTGACGTTAATTTTAGAAAATGATATTGTATGTTACGACTGCTTTGAAGCACTTTAGTCTTTCATTTTTATAGAATTTCGGCTTTATTGCTTATACATATGGATATGATCAGAAAACGGCATAATATTGCAAATGTATGCAATAATAGTACTATTATCTATCTACCATGGAAAAAATAAACTCAAATCGTATTTTTGGCGTAACTTTTGATAGAAACAAGATAGGGAGCTGCGGTTTGCATCGTTGGAAAGAGGAGATAAAGACGCATCGCACCACATGTTACAGTTGTTTTTTATCTGGATTTTCTAAGGTTTTAATTGAGCTTTTTGAAAGACAACGTTCTCAATAGGTAACTACAGTGAATTTTCAATTATCTGATGGGCATTGAAAGCGCCAATTGAAGATCTATAAAACTATGCAACGCTCAGATTCCTATTCAGCAGTTATAGATATTTTACTCGAGACTATAAGCGGATTTTTCTAGCAATGCCTGTGAAAAAAATCACTATTTTTGCTTTTTTCTCCTAGATAAAAATCATTTTTAGCTACGGTTTTTAGATAATGGATTTAAAAAGCGTCAGAAAACACATTAAAAAATATCTGTAATATAATACAGTACGATGCATCTTTATTTCCTCTTTCCGACGGTGAAAACCGCAGCTCTCTATCTTGTTTCTATCAAAAGTTACCTAAAAAATACGATTTGCATTAATTTTTTCTCTGGTAGTATAGAACATAACAGGTGGCGATATTCAAGGCTATAATAGTTAAGATGCTCAAGCATTCTTTGTAATACAGTATGAATAACTTGACATTTAAACAAAGTTGAGGTCTCAACTGAGCGTGTTCATTTTCCACAGTGGAGTTAAGCGATCTATCTTGTTAAAGTATCGGGGTTGCATAGATGTAATAATCTTCGCTGTTTTATTTTAACTGTAACAATTCGAATCAGTTTCGTTTCTCTTATTTCCTCGACTGAAGGTAGAGTCATATGAAATAAAATGAGTTTGCTTGCTTGCACGCGCCAAGTCGCGTGCTCATATGTATTGGTGGCATTAATAAAGTTTGATCAAAAGTAATCGGAGTCGAGGAATGTATATATCTGACATTGCTACCGATTGTTTCAGCAAAGTGAAATAGCAAATGAAGGGGTGTGGGTGTGAGTAAAGAGAGCACTCTCAGCCACACGCACGCCCTCAAGAAAGTTCCGAAATAAAATGAATTCATCAATGATCGAAAACGTTTTCTATAAGTTTCTTTGACTGGAATGCGAACGGTATTAAATTGTCGTTTGTGTTGAATTGAACAGAGTGGTACCGGACTGAAAGGGCGAACTGTTCTTAAAAGTACCGTTGTAATGTATCATCTAAGATAGGCAATCGTAATGCTGGCAGAATATTTTGACACGAATATAAAGATGGGTCTCGACCGGCAAATACTTTCACGAGATCCATCCAAAGTTTCGGTACTAGACCAACAACTTCACCATGTTTTTGATACATCCAACCATGATACGAAAAAAAGTGCCTTCAAGGTGTATTGACGAATTTTAATAATACTACTATAGGCACCTACGGCAAAAGTAACACAAGCAATAAGTGTGCCATTTTTCGATGGAAGCACACGTCGAAAAATGCGTTCTTCCAGCCAAGTAATGATAGCGAATGATGAGTCATAGCCTTTCAAGTAGAGGACTGGAATGGTACTACAAAAAATGACTCCACGAATCGGATGACCTGGATATAAAGAATTGTACAGTGAGTTGAGCGTACGATAACTAGT